AGATGTCAGCCTAAGCTCTCCTTTATGGGGTGTGTCTTTGGATATAGAAGGGTTGGGGAGCTGCTTCAGGAGATAGTCTGTCCCTTATAGGAGCTCAAGTGCTGATCTGTGAGTTCTGTTGTTCTGTTCAGAGCTGCTGGGTATGTCTACTGCAGCAGAACTCATACCAGCCTTTTTTCCCAGTAGCTCTGTCCTGGGAAGGTGGGGCTTTATTCATAATTTCCTGACCTGCTGCTGCCTTTTTTCAGAGATGCCCTGCCCAGCAAGGAGGTAGTTTAGTCACAGTCTGCCAGCAGAGGGGTTGCTGAGCTGCCATGGGCTCTGCCCAGCTGCTGTTTGAACTTCCTTGTATTGTTTTTACAGAGGTACAGTTAGAACTGCCTCAGTAATGGTGGTCTGCCTTAGTAATGGCGGACTGCCTCAGTAAAGACAAATTGCCTTGGTAGTGGTGGACTGCCTTGGTAGTGGTGGACTGCCTCAAATGGCTGACCCCTTCCCCCCACTGAGCTGGACTCTCCTTGGTCCAGCTGTGCTTGCTGCAAAACTCTCAATCCAGAGCATTTCAGATTGGTGGTCTTTGTTGGGGTGGGACCTGCTGAGCCAGATCACCTGGCTCCCTGTTTCAGCCCTCTTTTTTTTTCAGTTGATTGGGTGGCTCTGTCTCCCAGACATTCCAGGCACCAGTTGAAATGGGTGCCCAGATTTGTGTGAGGTTTTCTTGTAGAGACTGGCTGTGCCAGCTGAAACTTATGGTGCTTTTCAGCCTGGGAATCTCCTGGTCTGTGGGCAGTAAAAAGTCATTTGGAAATGCAGTGATCGCTCACGCTCTCCATTGTTCTCACTGGGAACTGCACTCCAGAGCTGTTCTTATTCTGCTACCTTGGATCCGTCCCCCTCCAAATGTTCAATTTTTTTTAAGGAACTTCTAGACTGGTTTTCATAGTAGTTGCATCATTTTGCATCTCTACTAAACAGTATACAAGGGTTCCAGTTTCTTCATATTCTTATCAACACTTTTAGTCTTTTTTTTGATGATAAACATCCTACCAGGCGTGAGTTTATATCTCATTGTAGTTTTGATTTGCATTTTCCTGATTAGTGATGTTTAGCATCTTTTCATATACCTTTTGGTCATTTGTGTGTTCTTTGAATAAATGCCTATTCAAGTCCTTAGTCTACTTTATAATTGGATCATTGATTTTTGAGTTATTGAGTTGTACTAATTCCCTATGCATTTTAGAAATTAACCCCTTATCAGATATATGGTTCGCAAATATTTTCCCCAGTTCTGTAGGTTATCTTTTCATTATTTCCTTTGTAAAGCTTTTTTGTTTAATATATTTCCACTTGTCTATTTTTGCTTTTGTTACCTGTGCTTTTTAGTATTATAACCATGAAATCAATATAAGGTCAATGCTGTAAAGCTTTTCCCCTGTTTTCTTCCAGTTTTTCAGTTTCAGGTCGTACATTGAAGTCTTTAATCCATTTTGGGTCAACTTTTGTGTATACTGTAAGACAAGAGCACAGTTTTATTCCTTTACATATGGACATCCAGTTTTCTCAGTCTCATCTGTTGAAGAGACTATTCTTTCCACATTATGGATTCTTGACACACTTGAAGATCAGTTGAATGCATGTTTTTGTATTTATTTCTGGCCTCTTTATTCTATTCCACGGTTCTATTTCTGTAGCCTTATACCAGTGTCATATGTTTTAAATTATTGTAACTTTTTAATATATTTTCAAATTAGAAAGTGTAATGCTTCCAGATTTGTTATTCTTTTTCCAGATTAGTTTGACTCTTTGCAGTATTTATTGATTCAGTGTACGTTTTAGAATTCTTTATGTCTATAAAAATATAATTGGGATTTTGATAGAGATTTCATTGAATTTGTATATCACATTGTGTAGTATGGACATTTTAACAATATTAAGTCTTCCAACCCATGAACAGGAGATGTGCTTTCATATGTTGTTTCCTTTTTAATTTCTTTAATCAATGCCTTTTAAATTTTCAGTATATAAGTGTTTCACTTCCTTAGTTACATTTTTTTCTAATTATTTTATTCTTTTGATGTTATAGTAAATGAAATTGTTTTTCTAATTTTCTTTTCAGATTGTTTGCTATTACCAGCAGTGCCACTTCAGGGTATCTGTCCAAAAGAATTGAAAGGAGGATCTCAAAAAGGTATTTGTATGTCCATGTTCCTGGCAGCACTATTCACAATATCTAAGAAGTAGAAACAATCCAAATGCCCATTGGTAAATGAATGAATAAACAAAATATATTATATATGTACAATGAAATATTATGCAGCCTTAAAAAAAGTAAATCCTGCAATGTATAACAACATAGATGAACCTTGAGGACATTAAAATAAGTGAAATAAGTCAATCACAGGAATGACAAATATTACATGATTCCACTTATATTATGCATCTGAAATATTCAAATTCACAGAAGCAAACGATAGAATGGCGGTTGCCAGGAGCTGAAAAGAGAGGGAAATGGGGAGCTGCTAATCAAGCAATATAAAATTTCAGTTATAGAAGATGAATAAGTTCTAGAGACCTGCTGTACAACACTGTGCCTACCAGTAGTAATACTGTATTGTATGATTTTTAAGCTGTTAAGGGGGTAGATTGCATGTTAGGTGTTCTTACAATATTTTTTTCAAAAAAAATAATACAAAAAATAATGTAAAAGAAGCACAAAATACATGTAAGAAAATTGGAAAACATGAGTAATATAAGGAAAAACCAAGACATCATAAAAACAAAAAATTTTAAAAAATGAACAGGATAATAGGGATGAAAAAAATAAAGAATGTAAAACAAATTTGTGAATCATGAGACCAGATTATAGAACTCTCTCAAAATGTAGCAAAAAGGGCCAAAAATATAGAAACATAAAGAAAAACAGATAAGAGAACAGACTCAGTTATCAGAGAATATTTGAAAAATTATCAAAAATATTTTTTTCATAATAATACTGGATGGATGATCTTAAATGACAATGGGATCATAGATTGCTACAGGAATGGTAAGGAAGCAAAAACACATATGGATACATTCTATACTAAGAATATCAAATAAAAATGAATAATTGCAAAAGGCTTGAATAGAGACAAAGTAGATTGCCTACGCAGGAATAATAATCAGAATGCTGTCAAATTTATTAAAGCAACACTGGGTACAAAAAGAAGAAGATATTATATGTTAAAATATTAATGGAAAAGAAACTTTGAACTTAGAATGTTATATACAGCCAAAGATTCAAACAGATTTTCTGTGGCAAAAAATAAGAAAGCTTTAACATTAACAGAAAATCTAGCATCAAAAACACTAATGTGATAAGCTTCAAGAAGAAGAAGAACAACAACAACAACAACAACAAAAACCCACAGGAGTATATTTCCAAAGATATAGAGAGTAAGGATAATCAAATACCCTGTAACAATGTATTAATGATGCAAATTTAAGATCCAAGTTGGGGAAACTACCACGCTATGGACAGAATGTTTGTGTTCTCCCAAATTCATATATTGAAAATGTAATCCCCAATGTGATGATATTTGTAGGGAGGTCTTTTGGGGGTAATTAGGTCATAAGGGTAGAGCCTTATACAAACAGACATCTGAGAACTTGCTTTTTACTCTCTTTCTGCACAATGCAATGTGAGGATACAAGAAGAGAGCCATCTTCAAATCAAAAAGCAGATCCTCGCCAGACACAGAATCTGCTTGCACCTTGATCTTAGACTTCCCAGCCTAGAACTTAAAGAAATAAATTTTTGGTATATACACCACCTAGTCTATGGTATTCTGTTAGAGCCGCCTGAACTAAGGCATGACATAAGAACAAAAATAAATATATAAGTCAAAAAATAGTAAAATAAAACCCACACAGTGAATAATGCACACACAAATGAAAGTTTACAAATGAAAATGTATTTGAATGTTTGCCCATGAAAGAGAATGAGAATGAAAAGTGGGGGTAAAATGAGTAAATGAATGAATGAAGCAAGAGAGAGCTTTGGATGAATCAATGTCAATTATGAAGCAAAGATAATTGTGATTAATTCTACCCTTTGCACCTGAAGTCCAAGCAAGATACACATATGAATAAAAAGAATAGAAAGAATTATGATGCTTTTCTTTTCTTTAAAAATTAAGCCAGGTATACCTTAAATCTCAGTTTCCAAATGTACTTCCATTGGGTTTTATTTGCAGCATATGAATACTTACAACAATAAGACCTCTGAATATAAATTAAGTGGTTCCTGATTCTATGAAAGTTTGATGAGTGAATACTAGGAAAAAACAAAACAAAACTAACCTGTTCTCTGCCTGAACAAACTGAACAAAGTGACTCTCAACGCTTTATGATGATGAATCATGCTTAAAAATACAGCCAGTTTCTGAGAGGAAGTTTTATTGCTTGAGCTAATGGGCAGTGACATTTTGCTTCTATAAAACACATTTCATAGGGCTTTTCAAGAACCTGAAAGATTTTGTTTTACTATTTCAAATCCATGGAAAGCAAATTGCTGTAAGTTTATGTGGTGCCTCTGCAGGTGAATGATTTCTGAATTTTTTTTTATAACTGAGGTGAATTCTAATCTTGGTGGTGCTGGGAAAATAATTTTAGCGATTTATGCCTAGTGTTCCGTTATTGGAACCCTAAGCATGTGAGAGTTTATATCCTACTGCTTAAGGTCTTCACCAATGTTTGATTACAAAAGTTCAAATAATTGTAACCTCAGTCATGAAGGGGTTAATTTTGCCCTAATTTCCCCATTTGCTAAGTCATTTTGACACTCGTATTTGAAATGAAACAAACTTATCTTCTTAGGATGAATTGGTTTTTTTTTAAGGAAGGCCGAATATATCTGGTTTGGGAATCAATGTAACATCCAGTGTAAAACATGAACTGAGGGGTGCGAATACTTCTTTACTGAGAAACGTCTTTTTAAAAGTGTAATATGTGAAATCAGCAAAATGAGTGATTTGGATGGCTGTCGTTTGGATAAAAGGCAGTTAGAGGGAAATCCTGGTGGAGCTGGTAGAGAATGGAGGTTGCTTTGTGTCCACTTCCCTTCCACAGTTGGTAGGGCAGAGTAATCAAAACCAGGCTGGAAGCTGGAATCCTTACTCACTCTGTGGCCATTCTGAATTTGTTTTCTCATCTCAAAATAAGGATAATAGCACCTACATGAAAAAGCAACTGTCAAAATTTTTAAAAAAGACGAAAAGAACTGCATATAGTAAGCATTATATTAATTACCTTTTCAATCCCCTGGTTATACATTTTGATTCCCAAGACAAAAAGGTATAGAAGCTTCCAGTCTAGATTTTCTTTTTCACCCTCTTGTATAAATCGCAAGGTCTAGAAATAACTCCTTGAAGTAATGTCAGAAGTTACTATTTGTATTTCCTCTATACCTAGAAAATTTGTACTTCCAACAGGAAGTGGTGGCCAGGAACAGTGCCAAAGGCAGAATTACAGGTAGAGAAGTGCTGTCACGAAATCTTCACTTAACCGTTGTATGTATTTGTCTGGATTAAAGCACATCTCTGTCCTACTTACTTCTTGAACCTCTTTGATACCTTATATCCCCCTCTCTTTATTCTAGGTATAGAAGCTTATCATCTATGCTGTTTCTGCCCCTTACCAGCACCTACTGTAATCTCCTCAACCTGAGGAGCCCCTGTAAATTCTGTTCTGCAGAAGGTGATATTCCTAGGATAGACTCCTGTTTCTGAGTATGCCAGATGCTTCAGCATGACAGGGACCCTGTCTCCTTTAGGACTTGGTATGATATTTGTCCACATTTCTTTAGATGACTTCCCAGAAGATTCACTCAAGGAAAAAAGATCTACCCTGGAGAAGAAAGATTTGGAGTTCAAGCTATTTGAATAACTATTATAAAAACGGCAAGCTACAAACAGGGGACAGTTATATTTTATTGGCCCAAGAGGTGGAGTTTGCTTGCAAAAGCATGTTGTGATTATGCTTAATGACTTTGTTTTTATATCTTTAATAGATCTAATTAGTCCACTTGACTTAATTTTTAAAAGATAAAGAGGCATTTGGAAAAAGTGAAGTTGTATACTTAATCCATATCCACACAAATTTTGATATAAAGAACTACATATAAGATGATAAAAGTACAGTATTACTAGAACAAAATATATTGGAATAAGATTACATTATTGGGAAAGGGAAAGCTTTTGAAGGCAAAATAAAGAATCAATATCCCATAAATACATCAATAAGCCCAGTTATCTAACATACCAATGGCAATGCACATATAATTAAAAGACAAGCATCTAAGAAATACTTTAAGGTATATAACAAAAAATAAATATCTAAAATATGTAAATACCTCCTACAATTAAAACATTATGGAAATATGGAAAATTACATAAACAGTAAATTTGAAAAAAAATGAATAAAAATTATGGCAAACATATAAAATTATCTTCACCCTCACTAGTACTCAGGAAAGTGTAAATGAATATCTCCAAATTAAATAGTGGCCTAATAGAATATCAATACCTAAAATCATTGATAATATCCAGTGATGAAAAAGATGCACAGAAAATGCACGATCTTATCTATTCTCAGTGGGAATAAAAATATTTGCAGGTCTTTCAGGGGCTAATTTGGTAATATCTATTAAAATTTAAATTATACTTATTTATCCCAAAATTCTGGGTCTAGGTATCTATCTATTCTAGAGAAATTCTTGCACATGTGCACATAAAGTCATGTACAAGAATATTGTTCCATTTTTATAGTTAAAATACATATAAACGTTCATCTATAGGCAATAAATTCATAAATGACACATGATACAGCATTAGCCTGGAAAATTATGCAATAGGTAGAAATTTGAAGAGAATATGTTTGCTCATGTGTCTTTTAAGTCAGAAAAACAAAGCACACTCCAAAATATATATACAATGTATTTTAACTTCTATAAAATTCAACACAAAAATCAAAATTTTATCTTTATGATTACATATAAATAGACTTATACGTAGTAAAGAAAAGGACTTAATAATAATATGAAATTGAAGTGAATGGCAATGTAAAGAATGTTTGAAGGAGAAGAATCAAGGACATTCCTAAGTAGAATTCATTTATGTGTTATTTTGTAAATAAAAATTTAAAAATGTAAAAATGAGTAAATTGAAAAGAAGAGAGGATGCACAAATCAAACAAAAAAAAACACGTATCGACCTCAAAAAACTCCACTTACAAAAGGTAAATGAGTCTCATAACTGATTATAACTCTTGGAGTAAAACATCTAGTCCTGATTCAAATCAATGGAGTAAGTTTTTCTCAGAGAAGGAGAGGAGTGTGTTGGGATATAGAGGGTTTTCAGTGTGTTTTAAAGTTAAATGAGCATTATACAAAGAACATATAAATAGAAGATCCACATAAGGGGCAGAAAGTTGAAATATGAGAGAGAAATAATTTATCTGAGTTTTGTAACTGTTAACATGTGGTTACCTTAAGACTTAACGAGATATCATTAAAACCAAAGACATATTTCAAAACATTTTATGTTAGCTTTAAATATCTGCTTCCATTTAATTCAATGTGAGGAATTATGCTAGGTTTCCTGGAGGAATAAAAAGATGAATTAGAAGGAAGACCTTAAGAAGTTTATAATCTAACAAATGACAGACATAGAAATAAGCAATGGACAATGGATGATTTATGATTTAATTGAAGCCAAGTCTATGGACACAGATGTTCAATAGAAGGTTATATGTGTATATTATAGCAATAATGCATTTAAGCAATAAGCCTAGAACACAGGTCTTGAAATGGCAGTAAAATATCTATTATTATTAGAGAATAAGGGAGGAAAAGATAAATTCTGGTGGCGGAAGTAGAAAAAGTTTTTGGAAGTAGGCAAAGTTTGAGCTTGAGGAAGATGTTGATTTTCTACAGCTGAAGATGGCAAAGCAGCCTTTCCCAGCTGAGAGAAACCACCTAAACAAAGACAGAGAGACAAAAATATTTCAGGCTTGTATAACTGAAGGGCAGAAAGCCTAGGATTTGATTAATAGAAATGAGGAGTGGGAGATTCAGCTGGGAAGGTAGGTTAGGCCAGATCCTGCCTACCTAGAGTAGGTTCAAACCCTACTTTATCCGGAATGGGGAGGGGCTGAAGTTTTCAAACAGGGGAATGACTTTTAACAGAGCTGAACACTGCAAATATTAAAGGGTCATAGCTGAAAGAAAATTTTCTTTCTGACAAACTCACTAAAATATCTTACTTACAACATGTATTAGCCACCTAAGTAAAAATGAAAAAATATTCTATTCCAAATGGATAGGCAATAGCATTGAAAAGTTAACACTGTGTTATTTAACATAACTATTTGTTATAATAACATAATTTAAACATGATATGTTAACATATTTAGCATAAATATCATGTTATTATCAAAAACAATACAAATTGCAAGTTATACCATGATGTTTCTCAGGGATCAGCGAGCTCTAAAGCAGAAACTATACAATCAGACCCTGACAACTCTCTGAACCTAAGTACTCATTATAAAAAATAGTGGTGACTACCTCACAATAATTCTGTGAGGTATAAAGAGTAAAATAATCTATGTAAAACCCTTAACATAGGGCTGAATGTGAGCTCTCAGCACTGTTAGTGCAGGGCTTGCCGGAGAGAACAAAATCTGGGAGCTCTCCTTGGTCCTGACTCAAATAGTTTCAAAAATTACCAACAGACTGAATTATGTGCTTAAGGTTCAAAATAATTTTTCAAATTAGTTTGAGATAGCCATTGATGCTAGGGGATCTTCTTCATCTGTACAAAAAGATTCATGGGACAGGGTTATATGAGAAAGTAGGTGAGTGGTAATTTATTTCTTTTTAGTTAAGCATTTCTATTTTATTCTATCTAGATGTGTCTGGAATGTTGTTAGGTGCTTACTGGTTCTGATAGCACAAGTCCTCAGTAGCAGTGTCAGCAAGATGGCTGATGGCTTTGTATTTCTTGGGCTTCTATTGCCTGAAATCTAACATGGAGGCCTAATACACGTTCATATATTTATGTATTTCTTCAAAGGACAATTTTAAAACATTAGCTTGAAATGCTTAAATGTAAAAGCTGAGGAAAGCAGTTGAACTATTTCAGTATTTTTATACTGATAAAAATTAAACCTGCTTCTTTGGCAGGAAACAAAAGTAGAAATTTAATCATTTTCTAAGAGTACCATCAAATGGGAAGGAAAGGACTTTTCATAGTTTAAGAATAAAGTGCTTACGAGAAAAATAAATATTTGTTTTTACTAGATATTCAAGCTTTACAAATATACATTTAAATAACCATTTTCTCTGGTATCCATGGCTTGAAATATTTATTTAAATAGCTTTTGGCTAAAACAATCTGATTTTTAAAAATAGTTCTGTTTTCAATGTCAAATATTTGGCATCCATTTGCTGCACTAAAAACATGGTTGGGCAATGTTGTGTCTTTTGAGATACAGTAACATGACAGAAAGTGACAAATGGGGAAATGTGTCACAATGAAGCATGATATATTATAGCAGAGTGATATCCTGATACTCAAAAAATCCATAATATGCATCCTTCTTTTTATTTGCTGCTACAGCAGAGGAGATTATTCTTATAGATTAAGGGACTACTGTCACATCTTAGGTAACAAAGTAAATATATTTCACTACATTAATATTTCTGTATAAGACTCATGTGCTTTTTCTTTACTTTCTTTGTAATAATTTCAAATTATAGTAGATGCATTTACAAATAGAATTCTGTTCTTGTGCTTCACCTATCCAATGGTAACACGATAACGTGAATCTGAATTCCAAGTAATTAATAAGGAAAAATATTAATGCCAACAAGGGACATAAGTACGACTAAATAAGAAGACTAGTTAAAATATAATAGCATTTTGATGATTTCCACAGGATCCTTTATAGAAAAAATACAAGAATGCATAAAATTTTCCTAATTTTAAACTAGAAAAAAAAAACAGCTCATTTAAAGACATTTTCAA